AATGTTAACCAGGCTGCGTTCTTTCTTTGCGTCAGCGCACGCCAGCCAACAATAAGGAAAGTATAGTCGATCTAACGAGCACCATGAAGGACACTCGAAACGCTAGACCGATATCCATAGGTCCCTAGTTGTCGAGACTGCTGTACGCTGATGCAAAGTCTGAACGAAGCCTCATAGTCAACTCGCCATTCTTTGATTTGAACTTCTGCAATCCCTTCACCAATATCAAAAAGTTTAAACTGGATAATGGAACCACCGGAACCAGAGTCGGGTTCGGGTGGAGGTGGCGCAGGAGCAGAAACTTTTCCTGTACTTTCTGCTGCGCGAGCTGTAATATAAGGTCTTGTAATATAAGGTCCTTATTGAAGTAAAACCCAAGTGTTCATCAACTACTTCGGAACTAGGCGAGAAAAAGCCGAATCCCCCCCCCCAAATCCTAAGACATTCCTGACGAAGAAGTTGGAAAGTGTTCCTCCCGGCCTGGGCCTAAAATCTCGGATCCCCAACGATTAAAAAAAACAGCAATATGTACTAGTGAAGTTGCGCTGTTTTATTCCATTCCCGCTCCGCAAAATCAGTACGTCAGGAACAGTGCTCAAGGTTGAGCAAATCTCAAGGGAAATCAAGCGAGCTCAGTGCTTTCGAGATAACTGCAGACGCAATCTAATTAGTTTAGCAAAAGGATGCAGTGTTCTCGGAGAGAAGTGACAATCAAAACGAACAGAAAATGCGTCGTTTGAAAAAAGACACTTCCTGACATCATTACCTTTCTTTTCCTCTTCAGCAGCTACCGCTTCAGCGACTTCAATTTCTACTAATGGTTGTCCAACTCGTGCTACATCATCCACCTTATAATGTCTGGAAACGGAAAGCATCATGAGAATTCACTGGTTGAGTACACAGACATTCATAAAAGAAGTGTGCATCAACCCACAATTTCTTAATAACACCATCGTATCTGCTAGTTATCGTAACTGCTGCTTTATCACTTTGAACCTCACATAAATTATCAAATTGTGACACCGTGTCACCTTCTTTGACATGCCTAAACAATACCAAACATAGAATATGCCAGGATACAGACTGGTTCAGATGAACTCCAAACAAACCACTCTTTTATTTGCACTTCTGCTATACCTTCTCCTATATCGGAAAGTTTGAATTGAATCGAAGGGAAAAGAGCACCTAAAATAGGCGAGATCTGCGAAATGAAGAAAATCGAAAACTTCTGAAACTTCGTTCACACCTCAGACCGCGTTCAGACTTCGCG